TAAGACTAGCTGCAGTAGTTAATCGAAGGCATTACCTCCCTTGTCACACTTTTAAGTTGCGCCATTACCACCACCATGTGATTTGTGTCTTGCTAGCTCACTCGCAGGTTGGCGGTCCTGCTGCCTGACAAGGGGAGCAGAGCAAATGTGGAGAAGAGGAGAATGCGAGAGAGCCCGGAAATCATTGTGCCGCGAACGACAAGAGTGGCAGCGGTTGCAGCGCTTAAGCAAAAGTATCAGCCCCCTGTCGCACGAATTCAATTCGCAACACTATCACCACCCTATAATGAGGAATCCTGCTACCTCGCTCAAGGAAAGAATTTTCCATGGATCTAATTGCGACCTGCGTCTTTGAGGGAAGGTCACAGACCTGGGAGGTGACATGGATGAAAGGGCCCGCCTAGGTCACTCACATGCTCGTGGCACAGTTGCTGGCGGAATCCCAACCTGCGGCATATCACATTGAAGTTATCGTCATCGATAGGTATATAAGAGATCAGAGCCCAACGTTTGAAAACCCAGTAATAGAGGTTGACCGTCATGCCGAATTCTTTCTTTTTGAGATAATTTATATTTTTCCCTCTTCGACATTCTATTTAGAATCGTACTTTCCTTATTCACACATTATCACTTCCAGAAAGTTCCGGAAATGATGTCATATACCGTTCTGCTCATCTTATTGCTGATGTCGCTGCTGATATCTAACGAAGCTGCACCGCAGTATGGACACATGATGGGTGGTCCGATGGGCGGCTATGGAATGGGAGGTTCGATGATGGGTGGCCGAATGGGAGGCTATGGTATGAGAGGTCCGATGATGGGAGGCTATGGAATGAGAGGCCCCATGATGGGAGGCTATGGTGGAATGAGAGGTCCGATGATGGGCGGTATGGGTGAGTTGTTTAGTTCGGTAATCTTCACAGAGTTGATATAGCCGTTCAGCTATCGAGACGGACCGTCCTATTTATTTCTTGTTATAGGTTATGGACATGGCATGAGACCGTTCTAGTTCGAGACCTGCGAATGTGGACCGTTTACTACTTGACCACAGAGGACCACTTTTTTAATCCAAGCAATGAATATTTGTTCAACGGGCAAAATCTTTTTAAAAATAGTTCTTGAAGTGTTTC